CTAAAGCATAAACACTCACCTAGTACTCCAAGCCAAATCAAGGAACATGTTAGTAATCAAATGTATGATCCAAGTTCATGTTAAGATGGCTAATGCATCGCAAGCAAAATACAGCTAGAATAGGCTCGGCTCATCTATGGATGACATGTGAAATGCAACAGATAACATGTATTCAAGTTAGATTTGAAATACTATGCAGTTAGTATGATGCGCTGAGCCCGGTGCATGCAATACTGATGAATGAATGCACACATGCATAGCATAAGGATGCTAATTAAAATATACCTTAATACTAACCATCAAAGCAGGTAAGTAAAAGGGAGAAAGAAGTGGGGGTTAGAAGACATGTATCACACACACGTACGCTTATTACACAATTCGCCCTCTCTCGGAGGGACCAAAAGAATAATACAAATTTAACTAACTAAAAAGCTAATTAAATAGTTACAGACCACTTAACTAGTTAAGCAAATTAACTAAGCTAATAAAGCGGTAAAACAGCCTCGGGAAGAGGGTCCAATGCATGCGTGCTCGGCTTCGCTCGGAAATCCACCACCATGCACAAACTGCCTCTGTTTACCCTGCTCTGCTCCTCTGAAAATTGTGCAAGTCTCAATGATGCTCCAGAATCACTTCCTGATCACTGTGGAAGGTCACCGACCACGAGGAAACACCGCCGGCTAGGGGAAACTGGTCATCGACCATTGGTATGGCTCTCGGCCAAATATGTTTAGTCGGCCGGCACTCAATATGGTCGGTCGACCATATCTTTCTGCAGAATCCTGTTTTGACAGCAGCAGAGGGCAAACTAGGCATGGCAATGCATTTTAAAGAAAATGTTTGCACAACCAACCTCCCCATCATGCTGTGAACTCAAGGGAGTGTGGCCCTTGACCCTCGGACCACCAATTGCGCATTTTAATGCACGATGGTCCAAGGTGTCAAGTTGTGCATTTTGATGTCAAATGAAATGCACACAAACACCTAAGGGGCCCAATCTCTATCATGGTGATTCAAGAGGCAGGCATGCATGCCAAATGCAAGCTAAGCATGCAATATGAACATGAGGGCAAACATGCACACATGCAAGCATATAACAACATATCAATGGAAAAACATGCAACAACATGTTAGGCAACTAAAAGAGAGAATGCATGCCAAATGCATTACAACCTAAGCATGCAGCAACATGCCATATAGCTCAAGCAATGCAACAAAATGCAATATAGCCAAGCATGTATCAATAATGCAAGCAATGAGCATTCAAAACACCATGCAACCAAAACATGCAAGCATGAAGCAATGTAACAACATTTGAACAACATGCAAACAGTGGACTTAAACTAATATGGACAAGCCTCAGCCATGTCTAAATAAGTAGCCAAAATGCTATGGAAATGAAGGCAAATTTACATACAAACATGCATGCGAACATGGTCCAACACTTAAGCACAAAGAGGGGACTTTTAAGCACACTTAAAAGGAGATGATCATGGACCAATGACAAACATGGCAAACTCTAAAAATCATGTTAAGGATGGTGCCAAACCAACTAAACAAAGCAATCAAAGCATGTAACCAAGGTCCAAAGCTCAAAGCTATCAAGGGGGGGTTAACCCATGGCCATGCCAACCATGCCTCAAAGGGCTAAAGGGACTCAAAAAAATCCCAAGACAGACCAAAACAAGGTTAAAGACACACCTAGATGGCATCTAAATGGCCTAAGTCTAAAGGCATGCATAAAGGTCCAAACATGGAGCATAAAACATGAACCTTTTGAAGCATCAAAGGAGCCATAAATGCAAGTATACAAGCATGCTATATGGACTGAAATGACATGATAAGTGGTTCCAAACCACTAAAATAGTGCAAGTAAAGCATGCTAGAGGATCCAATACTCAAAGCCTACAAGCTAGGTTGCATTGTAGCTATACAGAGCAAGTCATGGACGACCCAAATAACCAAAATCAGACCTCAAGCACATCAAAACATGCATAAAAGCTTCACAAAGCTAAGCCAAAATTATACTAGAAACAAGGCTCAAAGCACAAAGCATGTTAAGGCAATTTCATGACATTACAAGACAAGTATGCAAAGCATGCATGGTGTGTCTAAACCAACTTGAAACAGTGCTATATCATGACAAAATAAGCACAAATACCAACTAAGACATGGCCAACATGAACTTAAGAAAGGTGCTCACACATGAGGCTAAAATGACAAGTTTTGAAGATAACAAGGAGAGGGGATGGCCCTCTCCTTCTTAGGACCTCAAAACACCATCCTCACCACTGAAATCCAGAGTTTCAGTGGTGAGGAGGCCAATACAAGGTGGTCCCGGAGCTCACCAAAAATAGCACAAAAATGAGGTCAAACAAGGCATAAGGGGGGGTAAACAACCCCAAACACCAAAGAAACCTTAAACAACTATTTTAAGCAAGTAAAATCAAAACTTTTATCAGTTATAGACTAAGCTCAAAAACACATGCAAGATAGGCAAAAGGCTTATGCAAAAATGGAGAATAAAGAGCAAGAATCTCACCCTTGTAGACCACCTTCAAGAACAAGGCTCCAGCAGCCTTTCCAAGCTTAAATCCACTCAAAAACTTCAAGAACAACCCTTTGGTACCTCAGCAACCAAGGTAAGGTGTGATACTAGGTGTCCTAGTGCAAAACTAAGAACAAATACACCTTATACACACACAAGAGTGAAATAGGGGGAGATATAGAGATAGAGAGATACAAATCCTAAACCCTAATCTCAGACCCTCTTTGGAACTTTTTGGAACCCTTGAGGAGGGAGGAGAAGCCCTCCCTTTCTAGAGATTCACTCTTGCAAAGCTTACAAAACAAGCTAAGCAAGAGGGAAATCCCTCCATACACGTGTATGGAGGGGGTGCATTGTGGATGCCAACTATCACAGTTGGTATAAAATATCTGCCAAAAGCAGATGAACAGTGATTGGCCAGTCAAAAATGACAAATTAACCAAAACAATGGTCAGCCGACCATAAATAGTGCCGGCCAGCCATAACCAATGGCCGGTAGCAACAAAATAGGGCCGATGGCCTCAAGCCATGGCCAGTGAGGTGTAGGGATGGCCAACAAGCCATTTCCCACCCTCAGAAGCAAAAACACAAGTGTTTGGTGCAAAACCAACCACAAAACAGGCAAGTCGAGAGGTTTTGAGGCAAGGCACGTGGCCGAGACCTCCGAGAGCTCAAGACGAGCACAAACATGGATAATCATCGAGTGTTCAAATGATGACGTCCAAATCTTGAGGACGGTCAAAAATGGGGTGTCTGTAAGTCCGATATGCCCAAAATACACTAGGCAATTCATCCACCCACTTTCCCTTTGCTGTTTGCAATCTCTTCTTAATCTCATCCAAGATAACTTTGTTGGATGCTTCTGCTTGTCCATTGCTTTGAGAAAAACTTGGGTTGGAATAGTAATTCTTAATCTTGTACTTTGCACAAAAGCTCTTGATTAGCTTACTTCAAATTGTGTACCATTGTCTGCAATTATTGCTCTTGGGATCCAAAATCTGGTGATGATGTTCTTCCATATGAAGTTCTTGACATCAATGTCCCGAATCTTTGCAAGGGGTTCAGCTTCAACCCACTTGGTGAAGTAATCTGTTGCCACTAGCAAGTACTTCCTTTGTCCAATTGCTTGAGGCAATTGTCCAACAAGATCCAAGCCCCATTGGGCAAATGGCCAAGGGCGGGACATCGAGTTCAAGTCTGCTGCTGGTTGATGTATCAAAGGTGCAAACCTTTGGCATTTCTCACACTTCTTAACATAAGCTTCAGCATCTTTCTGCATGTAAGGCCACCAGTACCTCTGAGTAATGGCCCTATGGGCAAGTGACCCGCCCTCAGCGTGGCTCCCACATACTCCTTCATGTATATCGTACAGAAAGTCTTCAACCTGTGAATGATGCACACACCTCAGAAGGGGTCCAGTGAAAGATCTTCTGTAAAGATGTCCTTCTGCTGTCAAACTGAACCTTGCCGACTTCAGTCTGATCTTGTGCGCTTCTTTATGGTCGTCTGGCAGCTTCTCATCTCTAAGGAATACTATTATTGCATCCATCTAACTTGGTCTCATCCCCACACACATTGTTTCACGCTCTGTGTTCAGTGGTTCTATACTTGGACCTGTTAAGTAGTCAACCATTATTGTCATTGCCTCTCCAGGCTTCATTGCGCTAGCCAGGTTGGCCAGAGCATCGGCATGGCTGTTGTCATCTCGGCTAACCTGCTGTAGTTGGCAATTTTGAAATAAGGCTACCAGTCTGCCCACTTCCTTTACATAGGCCGACGTCCTTTCATCTCGGGCTGTATATTCCCCTGTTGCCTAGTTGACTATAAGCTGGAAGTCACAGAAGACTATTATCTCGTCAGTTTCCATTGCTACTGCCAGCTTTAATCCTACGATTAATGCTTCATACTCTGCTTCATTGTTTGAGGCCTTAAACCCCAAACGAATGGATTGTTCCAGTATCTGCCCATCTGGAGATACTAGCACTGCTCCTGCCCCCGCTCCTTATTGGTTTGAACTCTCATCAACAGACAGCCGGAATGAGTTGCCGATATAAATACTATAGGGCCTGAGCTTTTCTTTCTTCCTTTGTTCTGCTATCCCCTGCTTGGTTTTTCCTTGCTCACTTGGATGTTGTATACCTCGGCTCAACGGAGCCCGCTGTAGGACGGCGTCTGGTGTGAATTTGGCCACAAAGTCGGCTAAGACTTAGCCTTTGATTGCTGTCCTGGGTCTGAATTCCAGGTCATATTGGCCCAAAGCCACTGCCCATCTGGCTATTCTTCTTGTCAGATCTCCCTGCTATAACAGGGACCTCAAAGGATGTTCAATTAACACCACAATTTTGTGAGTTTGAAAGTAATGAATCAACTTCTTGGAAGCCATTACTAAAGCCAGTGTTAACTTCTCCAAGGGTAGGTATCTGGTCTCTGCATCTACTAGGGTTTTACTTACATAGTAAACCGCCATTTGCTCTCCATTTTCTTCTCTGACTATTACTGCACTCACTGCATGCTCTGAAACTGCCAAGTATAAGAATACCTCCTCTCTAGGTATTGGATTCGAGAGAACTGGAGTTGTGGTCAAATACTTCTTCAAGTCGGACAAGGCGGTTTCGCACTCTTTTGTCCACAAGAAGTCTGTGGCTTTTTTCACTAAGCTGAAGAAATGTTTGCACTTGTCAGAGCTTCTGCTTATAAATCTATTCAGGGCTGTAGCTCTTCCAGTCAACATCTGCACTTGTTTTATCGATATTGGGCTCTTTAGCTCTAAGATGGCTTTGATCTGATCCGAGCTTGCCTCAATGCCCCTTCTAGTTACCAAGTATCCCAAGAACTTACCAGACCCAACTCCAAGTGCACACTTCGATGCACTGAGTCGGAGCCGATATGTTCTAAGGATGTCAAAAACTGCTTTTAGGTCTTCTAGATGACCCTCAGGTTCTTTGGTTTTCACGACCATGTCATCTATGTATACCTCCATAGTTTTGCCAATTAGATGTTTGAACATCTTAGTCACCAGTCTCTGGTAGGTTACTCTTACATTTTTCAACCCAAAGAGCATTACTCTGTAGCAATACAGCCCTTTTGGGGTGATAAATGCAGTCTTCTCCTCATCTGGAGGGTACATGGCTATCTAATTGTACCCCCTGTAGGCATCCAGGAAGCTCATTCTTTCATGCCCTGAAGTGGCATCCACTAACTAGTCAATCTTGGGTAATTGGAAACTGTCTTTAGGACAAGCCTTGTTTAGGCTGGTAAAGTCCACACAGACCCTCCACTTACCATTATTTTTCTTCACAACCACTGTGTTTGATAACCATGTCAGGTAATTTACCTCTCGAATGGCTCTGGCCTCCAGAAGTCTATCCACTTCCTCTTCTACTGCCTCAACATGCATTAGTGTCGGCCTCCTCGCTCGCTGGATGACGAGTTTGGCCGACCTGTCTACATTCAGTCTGTGGCAAGTAATCTCGGGGTCAATGCTAGGCATCTCGAATGGTGTCCATGCAAACACCTCTAGATTTGCTTGTAAGAATGCCTCTAGCTCTTTTTCCTCTTCCTCGGCCAAGCCTAAGCCGAGAAGGAAGAAGCGTTCTTCATCCCCTTGTTGGACAAGGTTCTTCAGGGCTTCCTCACTCTTCTCGGCTGGCTCTTTGCTGACGTCCTCCAGGACTTCCATGTTTCTATCCTCTATCTCTGCCTTTTCTGTTTCTCGTATGTTGCAGGTAGATTTCATTGCTGCCATGGAACAATTCTTTGCCTACACCTGATCCCCTCTGACCTCCTCTATTCCATGCTCTGTTAGGAACCGCAATAGCTGATCTAATGTTGAGGGGACTGCCCCCATTACATGTAGTCATGGCTTTCCCAAGATAGCATTGTAAGGGGAGGGAGTGTCGATTATGGTGAACTCTGTTTTTATCTTCTTGGTGCCAGCCTACACCTTCAAACTTGCTGCTCGAGGCCATGCCGGCGTTCCATTGAACCGAACCATTGGGCCATTGGACTGCTCCATATCATCTTGGTGAAGGCCAAGCTCCTTGTAACACCTGACATACATGATGTCACAAGAGTTGCCCTGGTCAACTAACATGCGCTTCACTTGGTATTCTCCAATCTAGAAGGATATTACCAAGGCATCGTTGTGTGGATGCTGCACCATCTCTAAGTCGTCTTCAGTAAAGGACACCACTGGTCCCTGGCACTCATTTGCCCTAGGTCTTTTCTGCCTGACCTAGTACACATGTTGCAAGTGTTTCACTTTCTGAGTCTCCCCACGTATTTCGTTTTCATTGACCTTTGAGTGGATCACATTGATCACCCGAGGTCCGCCTGCCTGCAATTGTTGTGCTGGAGGAGGCGGGGTTGCCAGTGCCTAAGGCAGTCTTGCTTGCTCTTCCTTTGTCGTGGCCTCGTCTATAAGGTCCCTTAAATGACCTTGTCTTACCAGGTCTTCCAGATGTGCCTTCAGAGCTCTACACCCCTGAGTCAGATATCCATCTTCATTGTGGTAAGTACAGTGCTTGCCAAGGCTTCTTCCCATAAATTCACCAGGAGCCCTTACTAGTGCTCTGTAATAGGGCGAATTTTGGATTTTCTCCAAGACTTTGTAAATTGGGATTCGGAATATGGTTGTGACTGCCTGTGCAGCCCTTAATCCTGTCTCCTGCTTGTTGTACCCACTATCACCTCAGCCTTGCTTCGGTGAGCTATTTTTCTTCTCTTGTTTCGACGTCTTTGTCCCCAGCGTGTCCTCTTCGGCCCTGACATACTTTTCTATCCTGGCCATAAGTTCCTCCATACTTTTTGGCAGTGTCTTTCCCAGCGATTTTCGAAGCAGGCAATCATCTTTCAGGCCGTTTTTAAACGACACGACCGCCACCTTTTGGTTACATCCTGGTATTCAATTGAATACCTCATATGGGGATGTGGTTTGAAAATACTCTTCTGATCTTGGGGGACGCTCGTGATCCTCTGCTAGTCACTTGAAAATGAACAAACACTCCGGTCAGGGGTGTCGAAATTAGCACTCCGACGGGCAAGTTAGTCTCTGCACTCAAGATTACTTGTATTCTAAGTTAAGCTTAATAGTTCTCACATACCTTTTTAGAACTGAAGATCTTGTATTTATAGTATTCTCTTTGGACCTTGGGGCCTGGCCCAACCCTAGTCCTTTACATGTACTTCTACACGGCCCTTGTTTCACTGGTAGGAATGCCAGCTATTTTATTCGACCCTTCAATTGAATAGGGTCAATGCTGAATAAAGGTTATGTTCTGGACCATACTGGTCCACTCCTGTCGATCCAAGATTATTTGACTCCCACACCTCATAATACCTTTTGGCATAGGCCCTGAGGCTTTCGTCCTTGTTAATTCTCAGAGCCGTCAGGGCGTCCACCCTCAATGGCTGTAGTTTGTTTGTCACGAACCTGGCCACAAACATATTGGCTAGGCCTTCCTAAGTTTTCACAGTTCCTTTCGGCAACTTGTGAAACCAGTCCGATGTAATCTCTCCAAAGGATGAGGGAAACACCTTGCAGAGCAACGGCTCGTTCCCAGTGTACAATGCCATCGAGTTCAGGTACAAACTGACGTGAAAGTTAGGGTCCGACTTACCATCGTATATCTGGAATCTCAGCATGTTAAACCTCTTCGGGACTTCGAATTTGTCTAATTCTACTGAGAACGACGTTCTCGGCTTGACCAGGGAAGTTACCTCGGCATCTTGTTGCTTCCTCTGTAGGTAATCCCTCAGATCCTCCTTGGTCCGTCTTAGAGCTCGGCTATCTCCGGATTTCAGCCTTTTCGGCGCATTGCTTCCAGTGTTATTGCGAGCCCTTTTGGACCTTTCTCCATTAGTTGCGTCGAAACACAGCTCATGCCCTTGAACATGCCGATGTTCTTTGGGGTTAGCTTCCTTTGTGCGATGCGTCCTCCGAGAATCTCTCATTCTTGACTCTCCTCGCCCGACCTTCCTTGAAGGCCGGTGAGAGTGTTTCTTGGTCCTGGTGTGTTGGGGGATTGTAGGGACTGTTTTCGGCCCATCTTTTCGGGCATTTTTCTTGGCCGCTGGAATCGGCGTATCTTGTAACTAGAATGGTGGCTGTATGACATTGTTCTGCATCATGAAGTTGACGACCATTTGTAGGTCCGCCAATTTGTTTGCCATTCTCTTCATTACGTCGTCCCTCCGCAGGCATCTTTCTTTCCATACCTGGAGGTCGTTCTCGTTATAATACCCGCTTCGGTCTGATTTCTTCGGTGCATCGCCCTCCTGGCCGACGTCCTTTTCTCCGTGATTCTTATCACGAGTCTCTTTGTTGCAGTTGTCTTCTTTGACGTCAAGGTCAATATGTCTCTCACTCCCAGTAGGAGTGTCGTCCCCAACCTTCTCTTTCCATCCGTCGTTGGCCATCTATTCTACTATTTTTCCCACAGATGGCGCCAAATTGTGTGTGTCAATTTCGGACCACACTGCCAAACAGGTACTCAGCTGGACAACACTGACAGAATAGATTAAACCGAAATGACCTGTCAACAAAAAGAAGAGATTTCGGCGGTGGTTCGTCCATCCGGAGGCACTCCGACGACCAAGTCAGTTATCTCTCAAAGATAGCAAATGTGCTTAACTCACTATTCAGAATACAAAAAGTGCACCTTAGACCCATGAGGGTGCCTCTCTTTTATAGCCAATACAAACCTAATCTCAATAGAAGCCTAGCTTCAATGGACTCTGGATTACTACTAATATTGGGCTCCCAGTAGGATTGAGATAAACTCTCTAAGAGTCTTATCTTTACCCAAACTGAAGTCCTCTCTCAATCTAGGACTCTTGTCCCTTATCCGCTTACCCCGGATTCCGGTATTCTTGTAAATAACCTCGGCCTAGCCGAGATTACCTCGGCATCATGTCCAGGACATGTGGCACCTCGGCCACGTGTTGTCATTCAGAAATTACGTCCCCACAGTAATTAATATATTAATAGATGATATAACATAATTTTATTAGTTTTGATCTTTATAATTTGTATAATAAGTATGATTTATAATTTTAAAATTATAATATTATAACATGTATTGATACAGAGTTAATTTAGGAACTTGGTTAAAAGTCAAATTTTGATTTTTAACTTATTTTAAGTCATATTACCTCTTTATTTTTTTGCATATTTTTTTATAAAAAATCAAAAAAATCTAAAAAGTGAACTTTTAATAAATTTCTCAAAACAATCCATGGTAATTATTGTGTGCAACATCACTATTTTCATAATATTATAGGGTATGGCTTCTGTCCAGTCCGGGATCGGTCAGTCCGGGATCGGATTGGACCGTGCTATTGGGCCCGTGGGGGCCCACCACGGGTCCCGTTTTGATAATCTGAACCGTTCAATGTGTAGAACTCGTCGAGTACTATATGTCTGTAAAAAATCACGTTGATCGGATATCGATAGCTATATGATTAAATCAGTTTCGTATTAAAAAAATTGGACGATGAACAAATTAACGGTTGACAAAAACCGTTTTGATCACATAACTATCGATATCCGATCAACGTGATTTTTTACAAGCATATAGTACTCGACGATTTCTACATATTAAACGATTCAGATTATCAAAACGAGACTCGTGATGAACCTCTACGGACCCGACAATACGGTTCGATTTGATTTCGGACTGGACAGAAGTCATACCCATATTATAAGCACACATCCCTCACAATCCAAGGTAT